CAGCCCCAAGCAACAGGAATTTCTGCCTAAAGAAAAGCATTGAGAAATACAAGAAATAAAAGTGGGAAACAGCCTGGTTAGGTGGACAGAAAGAGAAAAGGAACTGTACTTCAAGTACTTAACACTAACTGAATTTTTCTCCTTTATGCACCAATCTTTGCTAGAGAAACAGTAGGCAATATTCTGAAGAAAACCACAAAATACAGAAAGATTACAACCACTCAGTGAAAAGAATGACATCAAGAACATATATTTGTAAAAATATGAGTGGCAGCAGACTATATTCTTGAACTCTGCATTTCACAAAAAGAGTAATTTGCGAAGTACTCTTAAAACCAGTAAGAAGTTACCTTGTAATGTTGCTTACAGAATTTCAGGCTCCCAGTGCCACAGGGCATTGTGAACACTCTTGTCTCAGCATTCACACCAATCATAAAACCCAAGGCTTGAAACTGGCATTGACAGCAACAACCCCCACTGCTGGGCATAACTCAATCAGTGGGATGTGTAACAAGTCTGTTATTAGCACCATCAGTGCTTCCTTCTTTTGTTAGCACTGATCCTGAACCTATTTACTGAAGCATCTTTAAGAAATAAGTACTAAATGCAGATGACTCCTACTGCTTACATCAGAAAACACTTTGCAGCACTAAGAAAAGGTCAGGGAAAATGCTGGGCCCCTGGATCAAGAGGTGCACTCAAATGTAAGAAACATATCAAGTTAGCACATTTTTGAGCTTCTGCTAAATTAGCCTTCCGCTACTTCCCAGCAATCCAATTACTTGCTATCCTAGAAGCGAGGAAACAGGAAAGAGCAGGAGCTCCTCCTTCCTATAGTCAAAAAAGAAAAGGAAAAGAAAAATAACAAACATCTGCCGTTTCTAATCCTTCCCAGGAACTTTAACAGGACTGAAAGAAAAACCATATCTGCCTTCCAGAGACATTTAATAGCTTGGAATGGTGTGCTCCCTCTCCCCTCCCCCAAAACAAATTAAAACAAAAGCAGGAATTGCACATTTTCATGTGAAGGCAAACAATGAAAAGAAACCCAAGCGGCAGCAGGAAGAGGCAAGCAGCCGGTAGAGCCCTCTGACCTCTTTCTTACTGTATCCAACAGCTTTGGCTCTATCACTCAGACCATGCAATCGGTGACAGCAATGAGAAGGGTCTCACTTTGAAGGTGCTCACATATACACTGTCCAAATGTCTTTAAGTTTACTGTTTCATCAGCACACCCAGAGTGACAGTAGTGAAGAGTCTGTGACCTCCTACCACTGTCTCCAGGACAACCAATGCACACCGTTTGCTTACGTGCCTGTGATTAGCAGGAAGGAAATTAGACCAGGGTCTTGAAATGAGTTGAATTACAGTTCCAACGAGGGAAAGAGCCAAGATTCATCTTAAGGATTAAGCTCTAAACTGACCGTATGAAGCTGGAACCCTGCAGCAAAACAGAACGGAGTTGGAGTTACTCAGTTCCCCTTCCCGGCAAAAATAAAGAAGCAATACTTCAGTAAGCAGGAATCTACATAACACTGTTTGAGCTTCTGGCACATGCCCTTTCTGTACCACACACAAAAAAAGGAACAGAAGAGCAGGTAAAACAACGAATAGCATTAGAGGGGAAACAAACCTTTAAGTCATAGGGAACAAAGGGAATCCAATACAGGACAATTTTTAGCAGTTGAGCTGCGGATTGCTGCACATCTGACTGCAATTTGGAAGGACTCACATTAAAGGTTGATCTAAGAGAAAAATGTTCTCCAACAAAGCCTGCGGCCCTTCATCTTTCATTATTTACCTCTTCCATTCCAATTTTTACTTGATGGAAATTGCTACTAAACTTTGCAAGCCAGATTCCAGAAACTGTTCTCTGGTTTCTTCCTGATATACAAAATGCTCTCAAAATCAGTGATGTGCACCTGTACACTTCAAGTGCTGGCAGAGCCAAAGAGCACCAGGTTTCAAGTCTCATCCCACCTCTGGCAAAGCTCTGAGAACGTTTCTTCCACACATAAGGTTCCCTGTGCTGTTGGTTGGAGAGACACAACACATGACAGAGCTTTCAGAACACACCTTGCAAGCATCAGCAGTTCAAACACCCTGCAGCACAACCCACAGAGTAATTAAAACTGTTTCTCTCAGGCCTGCTTTTATTCACGTGAAGAAAGTCAAATCAAGCTACTCGACTTATTTTTTAAATATAGAACCACTCTCTTTGAGGCAAATCACTCAAAAGACAGCTTGGTAGCAAGACACTTCCCAGTCAGGAACACTAAATGCTGAACAGAGAGTAAACTAACTTAAGAAACTTTCATGGTAGAAAGAACACACATTTACAAGGAAAAGGGAAAAAAAAATTAAATCCACAGTACAAAACCAGAGGTTCAGATCCTAATTAACCACATTCCTCAGTAGGTCCTCCTGATCACCCATCAACCACCATCTAAATATCTGTATTAAGACTGTGGTATAGCACATGGGACATCACAGCTTCCTAAATGTCAACTATACACAAATCATGAGACTGAAATAACTTCTGCTGCCACTCCATACAAGAGGGCAATGATACGGTGAGAACTTGTTCATTGCAGATTTAAATACTGCCCTATAACCACCACCTTTTCAGGAAATTAAGTCGCTATGTCCAAAGTACTCAGCAGTGATACCTGGAATGTTAGAACTACACTTGCATGAGAGGAAAAACAGCATCTGGGAACCACATCTGACAGAGGTAAGAGTCACACAACTGCATTTTCACTGACAGCTGTCCAGAATGAGGACGTTATTATTACCAGTGGGAAACACTGGCGACAGGGAAATGGCTGGACTGAATGATCTTGGAGGTCTTTTCCAATCTTGGTGAGTCTGTGATTACTGTGCACCGCAGTGAATGAGTGGGAGAAAACACTGATCAACACTGAACAAAAAAATAAGAATAGTCAATTACAAATAGAAATTAATCTGCTCAACCATCAGACCTACTTGGTTCAGTACTTCATCTTCAAAAAGAACCAGTGCTTCTCTATTCTCCTAATCCCCCCCAAATACACACTAGTTTGGTGGAATTTACAAAACCAACGTTTCCCCCTTTCAAGTATTAGTCATAATGTGGTAAACCATTATATTTAACAAAGTCCTTTCAACAACGTGCAATCGCTTTGAAGCGAAGTTGCATCACCACATCAGATCTTTAGAAATTACAACTTTTTTTTTTTTTTTAGAGCTCTTTCAGCAAATCACACCCTCAAGATAGCAGAGTGCTATTCTAAGAATATTCGTTTCTGGATGAAGCTCTCCAATGCCAGCACTACCAGTTGATTGCTATGTCAACCGCACACGCTTCGCACTTTTATTAATACCTAAGGCTGAATAAGGCTTAGAGCTGCTGACAAAAAAGTATCATCCCATCTTCCTTGCACGTGTACATTTTACCCTTTCTATAAAAACAAAAGGTCAACCAACGCAAGCGTCAATCCCAGCTCAGCATCAACCTGCAAATACTGGATTTAAAATGTAACAGTACAGGACAGATAGAGGAAACAGAATAGAGGACAGATTTGTTTCTGACTACTGAAAAAAAAAAAAAAGAGTGTATTTCTCAGAGAGAAAATGTTCCACAGCAACTAAAGAAATGCCTCCTCCCTTATCTTTTTTTTGTTCTTCTTAATAAAACCCCAGGATTTTATATCCATTAAACTTATCAAATATACATACTTCACAGAACTTCTGCTATAAATCTCATATCAAGAAACCCGAAGACTGCGGCCCTCACTCTGCAAACCACACCAGAGGAGCAAAGGTGTTCTGACACAGAAACGTGGTGGATAACAGCCCAATTGTAGAGGGAATCAGAAAGGAGATGGGTGGAGAAAGGAAGCAGGGGTATTTCGGACATGGACAACATCAGTAAGATAACAAGCTGTTCTGAATAGCTGTGTAACTAAATTTTCTGGCCCCCACCCAGCCATGCTCTTGACCTAAGTCAGGTTTAATAAAATCAGAGATGCTAACGACAGATTAGCTAGGAAGAATGCGGGGCTTTTCCAATACAAAAAAAGATACTGAAAAACCAAGAGAACCTGAATCTTTAAGGGGGAACAGCAATACCACTTGTAAGCTAACACATTTAAATTCCGTTTACTTCGGCAGCAATCCCCAAGCGCTTCTCCTTTCAAGCGAACTTTTTTTTGTTGTTGTTTGACACGTTTCGCTACAGCACCGCTATTACTGCCATCAAACACGGCGCTGCGGGCTGACACCACCGAGTCAAACGGCGCTGCTGGGGCCTGCAGGGTAAACTCTGCCTTCAGAGCATTTCGATCAGCCCGACCGCCAGCCGGCTCGCAATGAAGCACTACAGTGAGCTACAGTCCTCCAGCTAGAAAAAAAAAAAAAAAAAATGAAGAGAAAAGAAAATATATCAAAGAGACTGCCCGCCCTGCTCCTAAAAGGAGGAAAGTTTGGAAGGGGAATGGATGCGAAAACCGGCATTGTGCGTAAGAAAGAAGCCTCAAGCGCTTCACCGCAGCCGCACGTCCCCCGGCCCTCCCGGGAGGAGGAAGGGGCGAACCAGACGGGGATCCCCCCCTCCCCTCCCCTTTCCCCTTTGTTTACTCGACGGACCGTCCCGCTCCGCTCCGCTCCACATCCGGTGGGACCGAGCCGGCCGAGCCGCGGAGCCGGGCGGCAGGGCGGAGAGGCCGGCGGGATGCAGCACGCCCGCAGCTCCCCTTTCCCTTTCAACCGCGGCCTCCCAGCACGGCTCTCCGCATAACCCCCCCAACCCTCAGCCGGAGTCCTCCGCTCGCAGCGCGGCTCCGTGTGCGCACAGCCTCCCCACGCACAGCCGTACCCCCGAGGCGGTGGGGGGACGAAAGGCAAACCGCTGCCCGCCCCGCCCTTCCCCCAGCCCAACCTCCCCCAGGGACGCCCCCTCCCCGTTATGTAAGTAGGGCCGCCTCGCTCCGCTCCTCGGCGCCCCCTCCTCACGCACTCACCGCGCTGCGAGCAGCCGCCCCCGTCCCGCCCCGGCGGCCCGGAGATGGGTGAAGCCGTGAGGTGGTCCCGCAGCAGCGCTGCTCGCCCCGTTCTCGGTGGCTGTGCGCAGTGAGGAGGCTGGCTGGCTGCTTGCCGGCTTGCTTGCCTGCTTGCTTGCTTGCTGCCTGCTTGCTCGCTTCCCTCCCTGCCTGCCTCCCAGCTTCCCTGCCCCGGCCACTCCAGGCCGCTCCCCCGCCCTCCCGGCGCGCTGCACCATGGGATGCGCGCTGCCCTCTCCCTCCCTCACTCCCCGCACTAACATGGCTGCGGGGGAGGAGGGAGGGGGTCAGGCTGCCGCCCCTCGCACCGAGGAGGTGGGAGCTCCCGCCCCGCCTGCGCAGGCGCCTCAGGTGGCGGAGCCGTGGCCGCCGCCTCCGGTGCTGTCAGCGGGCGCGGTTCTGTTCGCCCTCACAGGATCCGTTCTCGCTCCTTTCCCTGAGGCGCGATCCCTTTGGGCCGAGGGAAAGAGGGGCGAGCTCGTGAAGCTTAACGCCTCGTCCTCCTCTCTGTGTCTCAGAGGCAGCTCTCCACGCTCGAGCTCGTTTTCTGTGTCTCGCTGCAAGAGAATAGCAGTAGAAGCTTTGCAGGGGCTGGAAACAATACATCCGAGGAGCAGCTGGTGGAATTGGGGTTGCTTACACTGGAGACCTCATTGCTCTCTACACTGAAAGGAGGTTGCAGCCAATGGGGTATCATACAGTCAGTAAGGTTGGCAGAGACCACGAAGACACCTAGTCGAGCCACTGACCCGTCACCACCATGCCCACTAACCGTGGCACTCTGTGCCACATCTGTGTGTTTCTAAAACACCTCCAGTGTTGGTGAGTCCAGCACAACCTGTTCCAATGCATTGCCACTCTTTCTGGGAGCTTTGTGAGACTGTTTCCGTGTGTCCTATCACTTGCCACTTGAGAAAAGATAATGACAATATGCAGTGGCCTTAAGTTGCCCCAGGGGAGGTTCAGGTTAGCTATTAGGAAAAAATTATTCTTAGAGTGATAATGCACTGGAACAGGTAGTGGTGGAGTCACCAGCCCTGGAGGCATCCAAGAAACATGTAGATGTGGTACTAAGGGACACGGTTTAGTGGTGGACTGTTAGAATCATAGAATATCCCAATTTGGAAAGGACCCATAAGGATCACATAATCACAGAATAACCTGAGTTGGAAAGGACCCACATGGATTACGGAGTCCAACTCCTGAATCTGCACAGGACCACCCAAAAATCAGACCATATGTCTGAGTGTGTTGTCCATATGCTACTTCAACTCAAGCAAGCTCAGTGCTGTGACCACTTCCCTGGAGAGCTGTTCCAGTGTCTGACCACCCTCTTGGTGAAGAACCTTTTGCTGATATCCAACCTGAACCTCCCTGGTAGTGTTAATTAATTAATGGTTGACATGATGATCTTGAAGTATTTTCCAATCTAAATGATTTTATGATTGCAAATAAGCATACCAGTTGCAGGGAAATGTGAAAGTAGCTTCAGACAAGCTTGCTCTGGGGTCCCTGGCCTCACTTCTTTTCCATGGTGGCACTTGTTGTCTTGACTGTTCTCTTATTTCAAGACTGGGTATATTCTCTTTTAAGAAAATACTTACACATGACTACTTGTTCTCATGCTTATCAGTCACTGAGTGTATTTAACATTTGAAGTCTGAAGCAGTCATTTTAAAAGTCCCTATTTCTCCGCTCCTGCCTTTAGTGGCATTTCAGTTCCATTTTTGCATTTCTCCTTGTCCTGGGCAGCCCTGGCTTGAGCAGATCCCAGATCCTCACTTCTCACTTCCCAGATTCTCACTTCCTCAGATCTATCACAGGTGTAATCACAGGTGTAGCATTGCTGTCTACCTTATGTAAAAGAACTGGGCTATTAGAATAGTTGCTAAAAAAACTAAAAATAAAAATAAAATGGGTGACTCATTGACTTCCTTAGCCCAGAAGGTTTGTACATGTCTCTGTCAGGCTCCAGGGAGCTCCTTCCTCAGCAGACTTGCAGGCTAGACCAGACAGCAAATATACTCTTCCAACTGAAGCTGGATCGCTGTGCAGAAATAGAGGAAGGAAGGAAGAACGATTTCAGTTATTTTATAATTATTGGTCTGAGGATCACTATTGATGCTCCTGCCAGAAAAGGTAGAAAAGTGCTAATTAAAATTACTGATGACAGAATGTTGGGAGGCTTTCAATAAGGAGGATGTTCACAGTAACACGCAGGCAAAAATAGAATACTCTTGAGGACTGGGATAGAGAAAAATGGGAGGAAATACATGAGTAAAAACAGGACTGTTTTCTGTGTAATATGAAGGGAAGGGAGGGGAGATGTAATACTGGAAACAGAAAATGGGGCTTTATGCATTTTTATGTTATGGTGATAGGGAATTACGCTAAATGACTTCTCCAAGCATTTGAACACACACTCATTGTTTCTCCTTTGTCTCAGCCTTTGTCCAAAGATGACAAAGTGCTCCAGCCTCTGAACAAACTTAGGAAGATGTGAAGAAGACGTTGTGGAAAGCTGAGACAGTATTTGAGTTCCCCAGTTCACTCATTTACAGAGTAGACAGGCCTGAAAGCATTCAGCTCCTCTCCAGGGCTGTGTCCTTAGGTAAGACAGTACTGGTAACTACTTTGTATGAAACATAGTATGTCCTATTCTTTTGATAAACACACATTTAATAAATACTCTTGTTTTAGATAACTTTCTAAATCTACTTGCTCTAATAAATACTGACTTAAAGCTTTACGATGACTTAACTTTCTCTCCTGCAGATTCTCTGGGAAGCATCAGTGTACCAGTTCTCCCAGTTTTGCAGACAACAAAGCTACTAAGAGATATGTGGCTGATTTACAGAGGAGACAGAGTAAAGCCAGAGCAGTTTTAGAACAGAGAGCCTAATCCTTCTGTTTCTGCTGAATCTTTTGATAGTTATACTTTTTCACGTGGAAAAGAAGTATGCCCTCTGAAGTCTTTGGGAGTTTTCCCATTGGTTTAAAAAAGATGAAGGCAAGCCTGAAATAATACATCAAATTGATGTTTTCTACCAATTCCTGAAAAGTCTTAGTTTCAAGTGCTGTTGAGATTTTTTTTTTGTGCTGGTTTCTTGTTGCCTTTTTTACCAGCAAAAAACTTATGAGAACAGAAGCTCAGCAGCACACTTACTTTGATAAAACACTTGCTGGGAGATCTTGCTCACATTACAGAATGCAGTTGTTGGTCAAACGTAGAGGAAGTTTCATAAAAGCTGATGATTGAAACTCTCAACTGGGAGAGGGGAGCTGTGTTCAAATGTGTATCTGATGACAGGTTATGTAGTTGTCCAGACTAAAAACTTAAGCAAAGATTCATGAACACAAGTACAGTGATAGTCACTGTTTCTGTATGGGCCATAAAGCATCAGCAGTCTGAGATCTCTGCTCTGTTTTTACCCTTCTCATTCAAACTCACTGCCATTGAGAAAGACAGGCACTGCAGAAGTTCATCAGTTGTACCTACAAAAAAAGCAATAAATTGCTCTCTGTATCTATTTTTCTCAATTGACTACTGGAAAGCCTGAGTAATTAGTCTAAATCTTTACAGAGGTAACCTTTTATGAGATGTGACTCACACCCCGGTTTTCTAAGACTCTTGTTTAATTCTTGACTTCTTTCAAGGAAAGTAAAATAGTTTTCTTCCTAGCTCTGTCTCCACGGAAGTTATGGTAGCTGGAAATGAGGCTATCCCTTTTTAAGTCATTATTGAACAAATAATATCGAGGTAAGGCATTCTGTTGAATACAAATGTTATTTGTCTAGCCTACACCATTATCTCATTCAATTTACAGCAGTTATTAAACCTGTGCTGCATTGGTATAAACAAAAAGGTAGGAAGCTTCATTATAGTTTGCCATGTATTGTCTTTCCTTTTATTGAATGATGGAGTAATAGCTTTAAAAAGACCCAGTTCTTTCCGGTGTTTTGGAGCACAGCTGCAGTCAGGCTTTTCTGCAGGATGGTAAATATTCATTAAAACAACTGAAGTGATCAGGCATACAAGAGACAGGTAGCTCTGAACTGCAGGACTACTTCAAGCTGTGACAGTGAAATGCAGAGGGACTTAGAAAAAAAAAGGAGAAAATGGCAAGACGTTCAATATTTCATAAAATACACAGTAACATTCTTCATCGTAAGAGGAAAAAGTGCTTTTTAAAATCATCTGAATCAAGTGTACATTAAAAAGTCTTCAACAACATTCACAGGGAGTCTACACAGTACTCTGCTGAATGAAAAGTAGGTAGTAGATACCTATTTTATAAGGTAGCTATAGGTAATACAAGAATGCCCATCTTACTAGAGGTACAATATGCTGCAAATCCAGTGCTGCAATTTTTTTCTTCATGTGGGATTTTTCATTTTCAAAAATAGTGACAACAACATGGAATAGCTCGAGGGATCAGGTTCTGGGCTCCATCAGTTGAGGGGTGGCCAGCAGGGACAGGGAGGTGATTGTCCCTCTCTACTCTGCTCTTGTGAGGCCCCATCTGCACTACTGTGTCCAGGTCTGGGGCCCCCAGTACAAGAAAGACAGGGAGCTGTTGGAGAGGGTCCAGAGGGTCCAGCTGTTGGAGAGTGGTCCAGGCCACAAAGATGATCAGGAGACTGGAGCACCTCCTCTACAAAGACAGGGTGAGGGAGCTGGGCTTGTTCAGCATGGAGAAAAGAAGGCTGCGGGGTGACCTCATTGCAGCCTTTCAGTACCTAAAGGGAGCCTACGAACAGGAGGGGAATCAACTCTTTGAAAGGGTTGATAACTGCAGTACAAGGGGAAATGGTTTTAAGTTGATGGAGGGGAGATTTAGGTTGGATGTCAGGGGGAAGTTCTTTACAGAGAGAGTGGTGAGGTGCTGGAACAGGCTGCCCAGAGAGGTTGTGGATGCCCCATCTCTGGAGGTGTTGAAGGCCAGGTTGGATGGGGCCCTGGGCAGCCTGGTCTGGTATTAAATGGGGAGGTTGGTGGCCCTGCATGTGGCAGTGGAAGAGTTGAAGCTTCATGTTCCTTGAGGCCCCTTCCAATCCTGGCCATTCTGTGATTCTGTGATTGATTCTATGGTCAGGTCCTACACTTAACAGTGAATCATTTCTCACAGGTGAAAGATGAACATTGCAGGAATTAGGGG